ATACGGTATTCCGTTGCTGATAGCAAAATGATTACTTAAATTCGCTTTATGCTTACACAATAAATTAATCCAATCCATGGCTACGAACCTAACATACAGTTTTCGTCCCAGTGCACTTTCTGTATCCACCAGATGTGGCAACATTTTGTTTCAGATGAAGTGTGCCATTTGAACAAAATTGAAGAAAGAAAATTAAATGTTTTAATAAGATGGCCAGTTATTACAGTTCAACGTAAATAATTTAAATGTAACGACGAATTTAGTAACAAGTAAATAAAAATTTTAAAGATACAGGTATTAGTTTTTATGAACCTGCCTACCGTAGGTTGCATGTTCATTTCTGATTATCAACCTTACGTCGTACTCATGAATATCCAGCTTAAGCAGCTGATGAACAAATTGATGAGTTTTGCTCAGCGATGTCCTGCCGAGAACTAAAGCAGATTCTGCTTTAGGTTGAAAGAGGCCATTCTGTTTTGCAAGCCTTGGATAAGTTCTTTAAATGAACAACTCACGTTTTAAATGAGCAAGACTTAAATTTCATAGTCAAGACATGTTTACGCCGTACTTCAGAATTACTTGATTCTTCTAAAACTGGTTTGGGCATGTTTTGCGGATGTTCCCAGAGACGAAGCCAAATAGCGACTACTTGCTCAACCGACCTGCCAGAAGCCCTGACGACGGACTCTGCTCCAGTCTCGGGTTTTCTTCTGCTGAAGCTCAGACACTGGCTTCTAAAGGGTTATGCGGCCGTCAAAATTGACTTACTGAGTTTCTCTATGATTTGTTCCTTGTGGTAATTTCCATTAAGCTGCAATTTGGAAAAACAAAACCTTCACCCTGCTTTGTTCTACCACTGAAGTTTATTAGACCTTTCAGAACTTGCTGAGGAAGTTCAGCGCTTTCGCTCTCAATTTGCCAAAGTGAACGAAATCAACGCGGAAGTCGCCAACGCCTATCGGGAGGTTTCTGCATTGCTGACCGGTTATCAGTGCAAAATGAAGAACGAAACGATTTTCACAGTTCAGAGTATTTTCGAGAATGCGGAAAGGGAGTTCGGTTTTCGGGTAATGAAAATGTAGCCCTTGTAATTTTTAGGTTTTATATGAATGTTTCAATGAATAATTAATTTCAGGATAATTATCAGTGATTGACGGGCTTTATTTGTTGTAGAAAGCACAGGTCAACAGGTTAGAACTGATCGAAAATGAGTACACGAAGGAATGGATGGATTTTATTAAAGCATATCTGTATCAGAACAATTCCGTTCCAGCGTTCCTGGCCGCTATCAATCTGCACCTGTTCAAGAGCAATTTGAAAATTAAACATGTTCATTGAACAAACTTGCTGCACTTTAAACACTGTTTTTGTTTATGTTTGACGCTGCTCTAATTTTGTTTGATAAACTTTTTGGATCCTTCCACAGCGTTTTTTGTCGTTCTTGTTTGCGGACTCCGGCATACATTCATTATTTTTTGGCCATATTTAACGCCATTCATTTTATGAAATTTATATCCTGCGTCTGATTGTTTTCATGCCACCCGTTAAGGATTCTTCCTCATTTTTTCTTTC